TAAATTACCCACACTAACCAATACGACGTAATAAAACACCACAGGTAGTGACTTTTTTTTTTTCCTCTGCAAGTCCAGATTCATAATTACTTGAGGCGAAAGACTTTCGCAATCGCTGGAATCCGAAGAATTTAGGGTTTTGATTGAAATCTCGATCGGAAATGGAGCGAGCAAGCAACGAAGGAATGTTGTACCACGAGGTTCAAGAGTCAAATCTATGCGCCGTACCTTCCGATCTCGACGGGAAGGATCGTCAGGGCATAGTCGACGTCGGAGGGTTCTCTGAGGAGTCGCACAATGTTTCACTCGGCGGCGATTTTAGTATTCAGATACGAAGTGTGGGTTTCTTTGAGTCCGTGGTTTATATATATCCTCTTGAATTATCTTGAGTACGCGTTGGTTTCTGTTTTCGATATGATTGTGAAGAATCTCTTTCTCGCTTCGATTTGCATTTGGTTGCTGTGTTAGACTGAAATTAGGGTTTCGATTAGCATTTGGTTGCTGACTGAAGTGGAAAATTTTCGATTAGCCTAAGTGCGATTCTTGAAGATTAAGGTACCACTGTGAACGTTTAGAGCGTGGATTGGTAAAGTTGTTATTATTCTCAAATCTCAATTAACTTCACAAGAGGATAAGATCCTCCTTTATAAAGAGAGAGTTACATTGAATTAAAGTTGTTACTGTTCTCAATTAACTTTACAAGACGATAAGATCCTCCTTTACATAGAGAGGGTTACATTGAATGTCAATAACAGGGTACTGCTGAGGAAGAACCGGCTTGGAGTAAAGAAGAAATTGATTGTCTTCTTTCTTGTAAAAATCCAAATGATGTTACCGTGGTCAAGATAAGCAAAGATCTAGGAAGGAGCGTTTACGCATGCATAGCAAAACTTCGCCAACTCCAGTGGAGTAAAGAAGACGATGAAGAGTTGTTGCGACTGTGTAGCGAACACACCGACTTAGAATTCATAGCTTCAAAACTACGGGTTACGGTCGATTTTTGTTGTGCGAGACTAGATGTTTTTGGATGGAATAGCAAGACCGTTTTCACAATAAGCGGTGAAATGAAAGTCAAAATGTCTATCATATGTCCATACAAAAATTCTAGTTTTCTTGAAGATGTGGATGAGTTCGCATTAAGAAAAGAAGATGGGCTCGTCATTGGGAGAATTAAAAAGGAATCGGGTGCTTCCATATGGTATTCTAAAGACAGTCAAGTTGATTATTTTGTGATTAGAGTCTCTGCTTATGAGGTTGAT